GGCAGCCAGGGCTCTGTGGGAAGTGGGAGTAGAACAGTGCAATTAGGGATCCCATGGTGGTTGCTACTTTTCATTGAGCATGAAAACCTAACTTAACCAACTTCTTTAATAATGACCAACTTCTCAGCACTTTCTCTGAAATACTAATAGATAAATGAACCTTTTCTTTCAAAGGCTAATAAACTCCAACAACAAGCAGTGGACAAAGCACTTGCAGACGCAAATGACAGGCACGAATTTGAAGTTCAGGTGCTGGAAGAACAACATCAAAGAGACTTAAAGGTTTTGTACATCTATATATTGACTTATTCATTGTCTTTTTAAAAGCATTTCTCTTGGTAAAGAAAAAGTACTTATGTAAGTCGACATGGGGAGAGGGGCAGTAATTAATGAAGTTCAGATTAGTATTTTGTAAAGGTTGGGAGGGAACCACGGTGATTCACAAGACACAAGGTTCTGTCATAGCCCTTCCATAGCACAGATTAAATAACACATAATTAAACATTTACATAACTAGCTGTTGAGTGTCTGGTTCCCTGGTATGACCACAGACTCCATATGGGCAATCTGTCTTGTCACTATGATACCCTGGTCCAGTACTGTGCTTTGACTTAGCAGGGAATCGAATCATTGAACCAATAGAACAAGATGTCCTTTCCATTCTCCTGGACTTCCTGCCTACATTCTTTCCCCTGAATTTGCTTTTCTGAACTGCCAAGAGGGATATATTAGCTGTCCCTGAAGTATTCCTAGTAGGCCAATAGTCACAAGATAAGAGGACCTCTTTTTTGTTTTAAATTTTCACTGTAATATGTATTCATTGTACATGACAATGTGCTACATAATGACACTTAAGTAGCCACACATATGCATGTATCATATGCACACTTGTAAGTGTATATTGTATGTTGGGCATATTACCTCAAAACCCCTTCCCATTCTCACCCTGCCCAGTAGTTAGTTCCCTTTGTTCCTCTGTGCAGTTTTACTTCTACTTTTATGTAATATGTACATACATGATTTTATCTGTCACATAAAATCTAGGAACCACATAAGAGAGGAAGCAGGAGATTTCTTTCTGAGACTAGCTTAATTCATAATTACCTCTAGTTGCATCCATCATTGTTTCCACAAGGAGCCCCTATCATATACTAGCTGTGTAGCAGTAAAATTAAATGGACTGTCCTAATCCTCAGAAGACCAATAGGAAAGGGAGCTCCGCCGAACAGTGCCTGCCTAGCAGTAGGATAATCCCTGCCTGGCCGCAGACACCTTCAGCCAGGTTTGGCGTGGTTGCTGATGGGAGTCGGCTGTGTCAGCCCACTGCCCAACTTCAGAGAAATAGGGAAATACGAATCAACATGTCCATAGTGAGAACAAACCAAGAACTCAAGAGCATGAGGCAAACATTAGAACATTTTGGTGAATTCTTTATGAAATAAGCTAAATGTTAAAGACATGGAGAGATATTAACATTCTAACTATTTTATTATTCAAGATTAGAGATTTAAGGGGCAAAGCCTTCTGCTGTGAAGAATGAGGTAGCATTTCTAAACAACCAATTTTTTTTCTATAATTGTTTTCGAAATTTACCAGTTGAAGCCATTCTGGAAAGATTCTTAAAGTTAGATTCTGTTGTTTCCCCTCTTTTTTGTTTTTGTTTTTTGGTGTGTGTGTGTGTGTGTGTGTGTGTGTGTGTGTGTGTTGCACATGAGTGTGCAGGTGCACACACCCAAGGATGCATATAAAGGCTAGAGAGGACTTCAGAGTACCCCCCCTTTTAAAAATAAACTCTGGGTGTGCGTGCATACACGTGTGCACAATATATATGTGTAGAGATTAGTGGACAACTGCTAGAGCCATTCCTCTCCTTTCTACCTTGTGGGCCCCAGGAATTGAACTCACATTGGCAAGCTTGTGGCAGGCTCCTTGGCCCACTCCTTGGCCCACTAAGTTATAGTTATAGACACCCTGGGGTCTGCCCCAGGGTGTCTGTCTTTATTGCTTTATTGTCTTTAGCAGGCTCTCACTGGCCTGTAAACTCACTGATTTGGCTAGGCTGCATTGCCCAGTGAGATCCCAGGACCCACCTGTCTCTGTCCCCTAATACTGGCATTATAGGTATGGGTTATAGGACATACCCCAGATCTTTACATGGATGCTGGGTGTTCAAACTCAGGCCCTCGTGCGGTTACTCTCCTCTAAGCTACCTCCCCAGCTGCTGATTGTGATTTTGAAACAGGGTCTCATTAGGTAGATGGGCCTCAAATTCATGATAATCCTCTTGCCTCCTAAATGCTGGGATGTGCTACTACACCCAGGTTTGTCCTACTCTTAAAGTAGCCAAAATGAGAACTTGAAAACCTTTCTCTTGGGATGAAGAGATGGCTCAGAAGTTAAGAGCACTGGCTGCTCTTCCAGATATCTTGAGTTCAATTCCCAACACCCACATAGAGGCTTACAACTGTCTACAACTGTAGATCCATGGGATCTGATACCCCCTTCTAGTGTGCAGACACCCATGCAGACAAAAACACCCATATACATAAAATATATGAATAAATCTTTTTTAAAAAAGATTTTAAAAATCTTTTATCTTGAAGACGTTGGATTCTAACAATTTCTTCAGTGTGGGGGATTGAACTCAGGGCTTCACTTCTGCTATGGCAAATGCTCTGTCACTGACCTATACATCAACTCTAATAAATAAATTTTTCCTTGAGATATTTTTCTAGAAAGAAAAGAAATTAATGAATTTCTTGAAAAACTCCATTATCTTAGCCAGCAATGAAGGGAACTGATACTCAGAACTCTGGTCTACATCTCTAGTTCTGTCTCTAACTTGCTGTGTGAAGTGATTTAATTCTGTTATGTTCTATTGACAACCCTGAAGTAGATAAAAATTGCCTTTTAATGAGGTTTTGAAAGTTCAGGACATATTTAATTGTTCTTCATTTCTTGACTGTGATCCCGATACAATACCCATTATGCAACGACAAAGAACAAATATCAAATTGTGAATACTAATGCAATCCTTGATCTTGTCCATTGTACAGTGAGTCCTCTGAGGACGGGTGTCCAAGCGTCCTTGTGTTTGTAGTATTGTAGCCCAGCAGAGGCTGTCACACCATGGAATTAGTAGGAATTTCCAAAATGGTAACAGGCTTTTCCTTTAGGTCCTTTTGTGAGACTTCACTACAAATAATGGTTTGACTATTGCTCTCTTTCTCTACTTGGTTGAAAATTGCTCCCCATGTCCTCCTACCTTTTCACAGTGGAGCTCCTGTCCCCTCCACGAATGAGGAAGGGTGGCAACCCTAATGATGAAGATGTAGAGCAGTGGGACTGGAAGGCAGGCCTCTGTGACTGTAGTGATGTTCTTGTTTCCTGCCTGAGCCTCAGCTTCCCTTCATGGTGTTTATTAATGCCATTTTCCAATATCACACTTCATATTTACATGTACAATGATACTGTGTCAATCAATAAAAACATGTAGTTGGAGCTGTAACCCAATGGTAGCCCAGCATCAGTGAAACCCTAGGTTTGACCAACAGCACTGAAAAAGAAAAGAAAATTAAAAGATCAAAAGTAGCCAAAAAACTTTAACCATGCCCCCTCTAACCTATTTTCATTTTGCATACTGCCTTTCAATGTGAACTTTCATATATAGTTTGAATATTTTATTTAAATTAAAATCTTCCTTATAATTTACAGTTACTTTAAAGTCACCTGTTTAAGAGGTTCCATTATATCGGATGAATGAAACTTTGATGGACTTAGTCTCCAGTATTCACTTTAAAACATCAAGCCTGTAGTCAATTAGTTTTCCCATCCCATTTCTTTAAGGCTGTAGAAAAGAAAACCAAGATGGAGATGTTTCAAAACATGGAAGAGGAACTAAAGAGAGAGAACTCTGCTGCAGAACAACGTATGGTCCATAGAATCCAGAGGATAATGATGGAGTGCCACAGAGAGAAGATGGAGGCTGTGAAGAAAGCCAGGGAAGAAGAGAGAGAGCTGGCCCAGAAAGCTGTTGAGGAAGAGACAAGGTACTCCAGAAAACGCTAGCATTTGACTCAGTTAAAATCCACCCAGAGAAAGAATCAAGCTTAAGATATACAAGTGAATATTTCCCAGCTTTTCCTGGTTTTATCCTGAGCTATATCAAACACTGGTATGAGCAGAGGTAGGAGAGAGGGAGAGGGAAGAAGAAGAGGGGGAGGAGGAAGAAATGGTGCTGATTTAAGGAAAATGGTAGCGTAAGTATCAAGTATCTAACACAGCATAAGGGGTTGAAAGTTGCCAACACTTCTGAAGGCCTGCATTATATTGTCAGTCATATCTCCACCCCCTTTCAACACTATGTTTCCAGTATTAAAAGGTTCAGAAGAAGGAGTAAACACTTTTACATAAACACTTAAGAGTCATTGTTTGCAGCTTGGTTCACACACTGTGGAAGATGTGTTAGTTCTTGATCTTTTCCTTGTCAATGAATAGGTGTATACACAAAAAATATCGACTTCATGGAAATGTATGGAAAAAACACATAAGTCCCAATTTATTACTTCCCACATCTTTGTCTCCCAAAACAAACACTTTATATAACAAGGTTTATATCTTTTCACATCCTTTGATATATTCATGGCCGTGTGTGTGTGTGTGTGTGTGTGTGTGTGTGTGTGTGTGTGTGTGTGTGTATTTGTGTGTGTGTGTGTGTACATAAAGCCAAACAATTTTACAGGTCATATTATACATAAGTGTGCATTGTGAGAGGAGAAAAATAGAAGGAGGAAGAGGAGGGGGAGAGAAGAGACAGAGAGGAGAGAAGAGAGAGCAAACTAAGGCAACCCAGTTAGGAGTGTAGGGCTTGCTGGTATAAGAGAAAATCATGTTTCCAGATATTGAGTAGCCTGCCCAAGACCCGAAAGTTGTAACAGCAAAACAAGATGGAGTCTTCCTGTTTGTCCTCCAAGTCTGGGTTTGTCCCTTTTAGTTTTTTTGTTGCTTGACTTAGCATATCTACCTGTGTATGACTGATAGGTAAAATCTTAAAGACAAATCTCTCCCTGAGTTAAAACTAGCCATTCCAGTGGCCACAATGAAGGCTGGAGAGCTATGGCATTCAGGTTACCCTTCTTGTGCCTAGATTGTATCTTTGTGAATAGACAGTGTTTGCTGAGAATTAGTTGTGGTCTAGTACAGTGGATGTCAGGCCCTCTGTACCCTGTCCCTCCTCTCGATCTCCAGGAGCTCTGGCTCTTCTTCTGGAGTCTGGATTCACTCCTCATACACACTGGCAGTCTCCTGTATCCTCCCTTGTTTGTCCCCCCACACACACTTCAGCTGTCCCTCTGTGAGTTTTGAGAGTCAGTTTTTTTTTTCAATTTCCATATTTTATTGCTAAGATTAGAGAACTTCCATGACTCTTACTTAACTGTAATCCAAATAAAACATCCATTTTTCTCACTCATGGTTCCCAAATGACTCAAAGAGAGCCTGGTATATGGAAAGCATTTGTTAATGTTAAAACACTGTTCTTATTCAGCGGGACTAGCGAAAAGTTTATTCAAGAGCAAAACATGTTACCTGGGCTAGAAAGAAGATTCGGGTTATCTCAAATACCCTGGTAACAGGTTCATGCATGTGTTTTCATGAGTGTGTTCACATGTATGTTTGTATCTATGTGTGTATGTTCACATTGTGTGTATGCATATAGAGGTCAGAGGGCAAACTCAGGTGTTCCCCCAGGAACTACCCAAATTCTTTCTTTTCCCCTTGAGACAGATCTCACACTGGGCTAGAATTTGCCAAGTCTGGCTGGCTAGTGAGTCCAAGGCCCACCTGTCTCAGCCTCTGCAGATCGCAAGCATGCATCACCATGCTAGGTTGTAGTTTTTAACATAGGTTCTGGGAATCAAACTTGTGCCCTCATGTTTGCAAGGCAAGCACTGAGCCATCTCCACAACTCCAGAATAAAGAGTTACAAATCAGAGCATTTTAAAATACATTGATGGAAACATTGGGTAGGTAGGAGTGTCATAGAAAAGGAAGTCTCTGTTATAGGCCTCAGGTGTGACTTGATGACATTATTAATCTTTGGGTTGGGTTGGTGGAAATTAAAGAGTGTTTTTACACATTACAAAAAAAAATTGACCTGATAGTTCACAAGGATACTAGGTCAAACATGGAAGTATGCAATAGTGACTATTTGGCAGGTTACACATTGCCTGAGACAATGTGGCTCTGGACCTGTAACATCCTATTTCCCACATCACTGAAGTTTTAATCAGTCCACCAGTCTTATAGAATGCCTAACACAGATACAGGCTTGTTCTATGTAACAAAATCATTCATTCTTTTCTGTTGTTTCTATCATTTTCTTAGGTGGTAGGGATTGAACCTAGAACTTTTTGAATGGTTGGTAGGTGCTCTATATTTGAGCTACAACCTTAGCCCTTGTAAACCTCTGAACAAATGCTACAAATTTATTCTGATCAGCTAAATTCTTCAGGGTACCAGATCTTATCTCTAGATATGACTAAATTCCAGGTTCCTTAGTCACTTGAAGAAACTAATTTGTGGAGAGAGACACAATTAAAATTCTGCTAAAGAATTTATTTGGATACTCTGGTAGCTTATACTGACAACTTGATAGAATCTAGAGACCACTTGAATATAAAGCCCTTATATAATATAAAGACATTATATATAAATGTCTGTGAGAGGTTTTGTAGGTTGGGCTAGTTGAGGTGGGAAGACTCACCTCAGATGCGGGCTGGAGATTCTAGAATGCATAGCAAGAAGATTGCATGCTGAGCATCTGCACTCATCAGTCCCTGCTTCCTGCCTCTGCTGATGTGCTGTCCTCTCCATGATGGACCACACCCCCCCTCCGGAAGCAAAACTAAAGTCTTACTTTGCTAAGTTGTTGTGACAGGTGTTTTGTTGCAGCACCAAGAAAATTAACTAGTACAGAAAATTAGTACTAAGAAGTGAGAGAGTTGCTGTGATAAACTTGATCATGTGTTTCTTAGGCCTTTGGAATTGGGTTGTAGTAATAGTGGGAGAGCCTGGAATTTAGGGTAGACAAGTCCTTCAGTGCTGTAATCACACTTCACGGACTGTGGACTGTTCTGTTGGGAAGAACACAATGCCAATAGAAGTACAGTTAGTGGAGTCCATGATGGTTCAAAATAGGACAAGAACTCTATCAGGGAGTGGGCTAGATACCCTTCGTGTGAGTTCATAATAAGATCTAGCCAGCCAGACATAAGTGAAATTTGTCTCAGAAGTGTAAGTAAACTAGCTAGTAACCATTTGGGGGAGAGTCTGTCTTCTTGCATATCTTTGGACTAAGTCCTGAGTCATAGAGAGAAACTAAGCAAACTATAAAAGCTCATATGAAGAGGAAGTGGTCGGGGCTGAGTCAAACCTTGGCCTGTGTTTTATTTGCAATTTTCCATTGTACTAACCTGTTCTTCATGAGTTATTGAGTGAGTTAGATTATTGAGTGAGTTTTCTACTTCACTTGAACTTATCAAGTGACTTCTGGATCAAATGGAATTGAAATTGAAGCTCTGGTAGAAAGAAATTAAGACCTTTCCTCAATATTAAATGAAGTAACCAAAGTATGACTTCTGTATCTGAGAACGGTACTGGTACAAATAACACACAGGGATTGAAAGAGTTAAACTTCTGAATTGATCAAGTAAAGTGGGGGTGAGCTATGTAGTATGGTGGGCTTCTGGAGGAAGTTGTCTTGTGTTGATCTTTGGGAGAGAGATCTGATTTTTTTCAAGAGACTTAAGAAGGAAGACAGAATAAGCATGAGAGTTTCCTGTATAATGAGACACAGCCAATGGAAGGTTTAAGAGTCTCGCTGGACCCCAAAATGCAAGTGTGCCACAGAAGGCCGGCCTCTGTATATTTCCTCCACACCCTTGTTTATAGAATGCCTTCAACCCAACTCAAGTGTGAACTAACTCTCTGTCTCTGTCTCTGTCTCTGTCTCTCTCTCTCACTTTCTCTCTCTCTCTCTGTTTTGCAAGACAGGATTTCTCTGTGTAATAGCCTTGTCTGTCCTGGAACTTGCTCTGTAGACCAGGCTGGCCTGGAACTCACAGAGATCCCCCTGCCTCTGCCTTCTGAGTGCTGGGATTAAACAAGTGTGCCAACACCGTCTGGTGAAAGGCATGGATTCTCTTAAACTTCTGCTATTCACAAACCTAGCTAGTATAAATTTTGGTATTATTTGGAACAACAAAATGTATTAATGAGAACTACATTTGTATAACCCACATATATATTCTCATGTATTGCCTGCCCGTTGTATGCCCACCAACCATGTCATACAGAGCAGATCCAAAGATAAAAGGGCCACAGCTTCCATGCTCATGCCCCAACCCATGTGTGGCTTCAATTCTAGAACTTCAAGTAAATCATCAGAATTTTCTAGATTTGAGCTCAAAAGTCATAATTTCAAAGAATTAAAAACTCAAGCTCTGAATTGGGATGAGAGAAACTGACAAGGTATATTCAGAAAAATACCAGATTTTTGCTGGGAGCTTTTGCCATCGGAGTATTTGGAAAAGAGGTGGATAGCCAGGCTAGACTTTATTAGCTCACTTTACCTAAGGTTAGTGCCAGGAACCTTCTGGTTCACCCAGGAAGCACTCCTTCCTCTTTGGGGATGTTGAATAGGGTCATGGAAAGTTCTTTCCAGCTTTTCCTGCCCTAGGCCCTAGAGGCCTTGGTCCCAGCCTCATTAACAACCTGTTAATAAAACACCAGGGTCTCTCCCCATGATGCATGTGAGTATGAATTCAGAACTCTGCAGCATGGCTACTGTTACTGACGCCTCCAGTCTCCTTTCCAGATTCTAGCTCATTCAGAGACCAAGTCTGCTTTTTCCTTGGCAGGATCATGTAGACCCCAGCAGTCCTAGATGCTGGCAGTTAGGGCTCTGTGGTGTTTCTTGGGTTTTGAATCAGCTACATAACTCAGGCTGACTTTCAACAGTTTTATTTTTGAGATTAGAATGTAATTACATCACTTCTCCCCTCTCTTTTCTCCCTTTGAGCCCTTCCATATACCACTTCTTGCTTTCTTTTTATGTCCAAGTTATGTCCTCTTTTTCACTAGTTGTTGTTACATGCATATATATATATATATATATATATATATGCACATATATTCCATATATATTCTTAAATATAACCTGCTTGATATGTATACCGTTAACCTGTATGCATGTTTCAGTTCACCATTTAGTGTTGGATAACCAATTGTGTTCTTCCCTAGGGAAGACTGTTTCTCGCACTCTCAGCATTCCTCTGTTGCCTGTTGTTCTTTGTGTAGAACCGAGGCCTCAGGGGCTTTCCACTTTGACATGCCTATCATTTCTGCCCTTGTTTAGGCAGCCATGTTGGTAAGCCTTTATGGGTGTAGCTTCTGACACTACTAGAGACAAAATCTCACAGCAAACACCCTGATCATAACCTCCAACTCTTGATCCACCTCCTAAGTACTGGGTGCTGAGAGCTGAGATTACAGGCCTAAGCCAGCAAACACTTGTTGCTCATCTTTAGGATAGACAGAAACAAATTTTATTCTCATAGGTTAGCTTTAGGTTTAATCTTGATTTAAACTGAGCTATATTTAACTATAGATTGTCTCTGACTTTCTGATCACAGAACCAAAATCCTTTTATACTCAAAATTCCTATAGTTTATATGAATTTTACCTATTGACATTAACAGGGTTAGGATCTAAAAGACAGACATTTAAAACATTTATCAATTAGTGTAAAGTAACAAGTCAGTCATACTTTAACAAAAATATTTATATGAAAAATATTTTCCAAAATAAAATATAATATTTGATGAAAAGACAGGCCTAATTTTACATTCATTTGCACAATTTAAGCCATTTTGTGTGTGTTTTAAAACAAAGTTATTTTTCCATGTTATTTGAATATACTGTGATATCCTACATATGAAGACTCCTGAAAAATATAACACTCATTAGAGAAAGAGAAAAAAAGAAATAACACCATCTTGTTGTCAAAAAAATGAGTTTTAACTTCATAGATATGCCCTTCCCTGTCAAAGAGTCATGGGCCCTGAGAATTCTTGGACCATGCTGCTGAATAACTCTGACCTCTGGTTGCTTACATTATTATATATAATATAATATATATATCAACACCAGAACTCACAAGTTCCTCCTGAGTTGGTTGAAGAAATACCTTCTTTGGAGGTTTAGGACTCTGACCCTGTCTCCTCATTTTTTTCAGTACAATGCATTTATTTTTTTTTTCTGGCCACAGTGAACTCAGACCCCCAGTGCCGCCATCAGGCATTACAATAGTGGGTTTGCCCCAGTCCATGGCAGAGAAAGTGATGGGTGGCCTCTGAGAACAATTTTTAAATTGATTGTTGAAAGCTAATCAATTCTGGAAGCTCGTGTATACCAGGTTTCTCAGGTGGGGGCTCTTCGGTGATTAACGATAACTTCTTTGTGTTTTTAGTGGATCCTCAATCTAATCTGTAAATCTGTATGCTCTTTTGTAGAAAGGTCATGGAGGAACTTGTGAGTTCTGGCTTGACAGCCCTTAGAGACCATAAGACAAACTTGGGCGAGTTGATAAAAGCAAAGGAAAAAGAAATGAATGCCTACTATGGCTTGGCTCAGAGGCAGAAGCAAGAAGAAGTGCAAGAAGTGCTTCAAGAAGCAGAAAAAGCACATCAGGCCAATCTTGACAATGTGAAGTTTAAACTGGTTAATACCCAGGGGGAGCTGGTGTCTGTAGCAAAGCAACTGGGAATCATGACAAACTGGAAAGATTTTCTGGAGGAGGAATTACAGGAAACCAGGGAAGCATTTCAGAAGTATATCAATTACACCTTCCCCAGGCTTTCCCCAGGACATGCCGACTTTATTCTGCCAGAAAGAAAGAAAACACCTTCCAAACTTCTTAGCGACAGTGAAACAAGTGCCTAATAGACATCAGCTAAAATGTTGCCACAAAAGACAGTGTTCCAAAGCTGAATAAATAAACTCAAAACCACTTATTGACATTTGTTCAGAGTACTATTTGGCTATAAGAATTTTTAATTGACTTTTTAAATTATCATAAAAGTTATAGATTTCTGTTCTTTCTTTTATGTCATTTTTCAAAGTAATGAATTTCATATGGCATTTTCAAACATTCTCAGGTTTCGTTGGTCTTTGCTCTCTTCTCTCCCTCTGCTTTTCTGTGCTGTAAACAAGTTCAAGAAAAGCCAACATATTCAAAAGAGTATTCCAAGGCACTGTGAGCACCACATCTAAACTGTAGAGAGAGGATGAACTAATTAGGAAGGGAAAACAGTGCTTAGAGGAAGTCAAAACACATTTCTGTACCTGGCTTGATTTGTTCTACATCAGACGTGTTACCACACTCACACATGTTGCAGTTGAAAATAGGTAAAGGAATGTGTTCTTAGATTGTTTGCATTTGTAGAGGGTAACCTGCAGTACAGAAATTAATGTCTGGTTAACAAAAACATCAATTTTCACCAAATCTATTAAGACAAATTTGAAATTCTTGGCCTTGCATATAAATAAGTCAGAGAGGATTCCCAAGAAAAGTATCTATAGAAGTTAGGGATGGAGAGTCCTCTGTGCCTGACACATGGCCTGTGATGGTCTGGACCACTAATGTCAACAATCACTAAATTAAAGTGAAAGAGCTCCTGAGCCTATAGGACTTCTCTAAAACCCCACCCACTAAAAACTAACATTTTATTTTTTGTTTTGGCTTTTTTCCAGAAAAGGTTTCTCTATGTAGCTTTGTCGACCAAAGCTGGCCTTGAACTCACAGAGATCTGCCTGCCTCTGACTCCGGGGTGTTGGAATTAAAGGCATGTGCCACCACCACCCAGCTAGCATTTTTTTAAATTGAAGTTTTTAAATACATTTAGAAATTTATACATGAGTACTGTATTTACATCGTTTGTACCCTTCCCCTCTCCCCTCCAACTACTTCTCTGATTGTCTCTCAAGTTCATGACCTCTTCTATAATTATTGTTTTACATACACACACACACAGACACACACACACACTCTACCTATTTCATGTCGTTCATATGTACATATGCTTAGGGCTGACCATTTTGGAGCACATGACCTACCAGAAGCTCATCTCTCTATGTAAGCTGCCTGTAGCTTTCACCTAGGAATGGGACCTTATGAAGTTGTCCTCTATCCATGATGGCTTGTCACTTGGTGTGGTCTTTGCAGGTTTTATGCAGGCAGCCATATTGTTGAGAATTTATGGGAGCAACATCCATGTCCTGTCCAGGCCAAGTTACCATTGACTGAAACCTCTGAAACTATGAGCCTAAATAAATCTTCCTCCTTTTATTTATTTTCTCAGGCATTTTGTTACTGTGGCCAGAAGGATGCCTCACATTAAAGCTGTACAAAAATAGGCAAAGACAGGATTTAGCTTGCAGACTACACAGATTATAGGGCCTTGATCTATCAATAGTACCACACACGTCTACTTATGGAAGATTTCCTGACAGCCTATTTCTACCATGAAATAGAGATGTGTTAATAGAGAGTTAATGTATCAGGAAGTGTTAAAGTTAATGTATCAGGAAAAGTGTGTTCAACTGGAGTGAACTGCTTCATCTCTTCTCAATAATTACTGACTTGGGTACCTGTGCTTCGGATGAATGATGTGATCACAAGAATTAGCGGAGAACACTAGAGTCTCAGATTATCTAGAGGTTCAATAGAGGGCAGAAACCAACTGTCTCACAAAAGTGAAGCCAGGGAAGTACCTTTTAAGTAAAGTGTGCCATCAGAGTAAGAAATAGCTCATATTAAAAAATAAAAATAGTCAGACATATCTCCGTGAGTTCGAGGCCAACCTGGTCTACAGAGCAAGTTCCAGGACAGCCAGGGCTACACAGAAAACCTTGTCTCAAAAAATAAAACAATGAAAAAGGTAAAAACAAACACACTAACAAGGGATTTAGTATGAATTAGTGAACAGATTTTTGATGAACTACAGACATGCATCTTGGTCTCCAACATAGGTCTGGCAGCAACGACAAGCAAGTTTGGCATCTGTGACAGTGATCACAGACTTGTGGCTCGCTAGTAACATTCCTGCTATTTAGAACCCCAAATTGCATTATTTGGAAACAAAATGTATATCCCACATGCCTAGTCTGTGTTCCCAGACAAATATGCATAGGCATTCAGTACTGTCAGGATGGATGGATGGATTGCTTTTCCTGAATAGAGGCATGCTGGTGGGCCATACCTCTCACCTTAATACTCTAACCAAAAGTAGTTGGCTTGTGGCCAACATCTACAGATATATCTCATATGTATACACTGTTGAGGTCTGTCTTGGTCCATCTGGTCTAATAAAAGGCCAGCTTCTTGAATCCTGAGAAATTCTTGATTTACAGAACTGTATTTAGGGGTGTTCAGTTGTATTCTTGTTGGGGGAAGGGTATGATACCGGTGCAGCATCCCATCCATGCACTCACTGCATGCACCATGTACTTAAACACACAAAACAACAGAGACAGAGACAGGGAGGGAGGGAGGAAGAGGGAAGAGGAAAGCTATGAAATAACACTTTCCACATGTATGATGACAGAGTTTCTGTCCCTCCTGGTCCCATAGCGGTTAGACCCAAATAAATACACAGAGGCTTATATTAATTATAAACTGGCCGATGACTCGGGCTTCTTATGAGCTAGATCTCTCTTAATTATTAACCCATTTCTATTAAACTATGTATAGCCACAAGGCTATGGCTTACCCGTAATGCTCCAACATGTTACTCCTTTGGCATCTCTTTGGCTGCTCCTCGCTGCCTTCCTCTTCCCAGCATTCCTCTCCTCTGGTAGCCCTGCCTATACTTCCTACCTGGCTATGTCATGCCTGTCCTTGACTGAAACAGCTTTATTCATCAAGCAATAAGAGAAACATATATTCACAGCATTCAGAAGGATATCCCCTATCACATGTATAAACAAATAAGAATGATATATTAAAGTTCGTCATGGGAGTGCTCCTTTAGCTGTACATAGGCAAAAACTAACAGTTCATCATAGGCAAGTGTTTTGGTCAGGGTTACTATTGCTCTGAAAAAACACTATGGCCCAAGCAATCTGGGGAGGAAAGGGTTTATCTGGCTGACACTTCCACATCACTGTTCATCACCCAAGGAATTCAGGACAACAACTTAAGCAGGACCGGATCCTTGAAGCAGGAGCTGATGCAGAGGCCATGAAGGGGTGCTGCTTACTGGCTTGCTCTTCATAACTTGCTCAGCCTGCTTTCTTATAGAACTGAGTACTACCAACCCAGAATGACCTCACCCACAATGGCCTGGGCCCTCCCCCATCCATCATTAATTAAGAAAGTGCCCTAGTTCTTTGCCAACAGCCTGATCTTATGAAGGCATTTTCTTTCTTGAGGCTCCCTCATCTCAGATGACTTTAGCTTGTGTCAAGTTGATATAAGTTAGCCAGCACAGCAAGTGCCCAAGCATTGCTGGTGGAGCATGCTTGGTCTCCACAGCTAAGAACCACTGCATCTGGTGCTGTACCAGCACAAGTGTTCCTGCCAGGGCCACATACAGGAAACTACTCAGTTTATGAATCTGACATATGATCATAATTCATGGATTTGTTCCTTTTTCGTTTTGTTTTCTTTTTAATTTCTCTTGTAATTCCTGAAATAGGAAAAGCTAATAGGCTTGTAGGTGGCAATTCCTCCCCTTGATTTAGTTGGGAATATTAGATCCTAAGGTCTTTTGTCCCACTGATTGATTGCTGCAACAGAGAGACAGGAAATGAAGTACTAATGGTTTGTATTGTTCATCTCACCCCTTAAAGGCAATTGAAAACCACACACACACAAAAAAAAGTGTACTTAAAAAGCTATGGTATTTTCATGTCAGAAAATTCAACTATGTTCTTTTTTTCCTGCCTTCTTATAATAGTCCCCATGTAAGTAATCTCTACAGTGGAATCTTGGTAAGGAAGATTTAAAAAATGTTCCTGAGTTCCTGCTAACAGGAAATAGCTTATGCACAATCAAAATCTAGCTTTTCTAGAAAAGCTAGAATAAAGATAGCTTGCTTAGTCTTGCTTATTTTAGAATTACTTTGTCACTGTTTCCCTGAAGACTTATCTCCTCCTCTGTTATCCAGCTTCTTTTTAAGAAGAAAAGTTAAACCAGAAAAGAGACAGCTAACAGCAAATCTGTGATGCTCACAGTTTCAGACTTGGTACATGGTGTTTATCATTAGACCACCATCATGGCTCTGTTAAAACAAATAAGGCTAATTACTCTGCAGCAGATAGGTAACAATGGAGAAATAGTGTAAAAAGCACAATATATTTTTTAACTTTTAACAACTTTTGTTAAAATAGGACTTTATTTTAATGGTTGGTAGCCAAAAGGCATCATTAAGTGTAGAAATATTCTATAACACTGCATCTTTACTTTTATTTATAAAATGTGACATATATAAAAGGTAAGAGTAATGCACATGCACCTTGGAATAAACAATTATAAAGTGAACACCTATATAACCACTACTAAGGATTTCAGGGTACTCTAGGGGAACAGAATTGACAGATATTATAAAGGGAACCAACAATGGCCATCTACACAGAAAAGAGGTTAAGAACTTTGTAGTTCCATGAGTCCAGATTCTCAGCAGTTTCAATCTGGTGCTGAAGGGCTGGAGGAGTTCTGGAGAGCTGCTGTCCTCTACTCATATTGGAGTTACACAAGCTGGGTTCTGTCGCTGGCAGCAGCAGCAGCAATAGAGTAGATGTGCTAATCAGCAAGGAGTAGAGGACAGCAGGCACTGTTTTTCCCTCAAACCATTGAAAAACTTGATTGCTGCTGGAAGATACTGTCCATTCCAGGAGTTTGCTTATTCATTTCCTTCCCTGGCTCGCAGGTGCCTGTCTCACCCCTGGGCATTCCTTTGCAAAGGCATGTCACAGATGCTGGTCACCCTCCTGCATGGTCATGTGAAAGAAGACAC